GCCTCGTAGCCGCCCTTCCGCATGCGGCCTCGTCGCCGCCCATTTCGCGGCCTCGTCGCCGCCCATTTCGCGGCCTCGTCGCCGCCCATTTCGCGGCCCCGTAGCCGCCCTTTCGCAGCCTCGTCGCCGCCCATTTCGCGGCCTCGTCGCCGCCCATTTCGCGGCCTCGTCGCCGCCCATTTCGCGGCCCCGTCGCCGCCCTTTTCGCGGCCCCGTCGCCGCCCTACCCTTCGCGGCTCTGTCGCCGCCTCTCGCCGCCCTTTGCGGCTCCTCCAGGACCCGTCGTGGTCCCCTTCACACGTGTCTGCAGCAGCTGCCGCCACCGAGCCTGCAGCAGCAGCCGCCGCCATCCTTCAGCAGCTGCAGCTGCAGAGCCTACAGCAGCAGCCGCAGCCGGACCTGCAGTAGCAGCCGCCGCCGAGCCAACAGCAGCAGCCACCGTCGGACCTGCAGTGGCAGCCGCCACCAGACCTACAGCAGCGGCCGCCACCGACCCTGCAGCAGCTGCCGCTGACCCTGCAGCAGCTCCCGCCGCCGAACCGGCAGCGGGAGTCACCGCCGAACCTACAGCAGCGGCCGCCGCCGACCCTGCAGCAGCTGCCGTCGCCGAGCCAGCAGCAGCAGCCGCCGCCGTACCTGCAGCAGCTGCTGCCGCCGAGCCTACAGCAGCAGCCGCCACTCGAGACTACAACAGCAGCCGCCGCCGTCCCTGCAGCAGCGGCCGTTCCCGAGCTTGCAGCAGCTGCCACCGCCGTCACGACTACCTCGGCCCTGCCGTACTAAAGCCGCGCTGCCCTGCCCTACCGCACTACTGCTGCTACTGCCACTGCTACTGACACTGCTACTGTTCCTCCTACTGCTACTATGGCTAGCCCTCCTGTGCTAGCCTTCGATGCTGAGGGCCGCCCAGTGAAGTTTGACACCTGGCTAGATGACCTGCACCTCTTCCTACAGCTCACTGCCAAGGAGGACATTTCACTGTACGATCACGCCCTAGGCCATGCTACTGCCCCTGACACTTCTACTGACCGCACCCTGCGCTCCCAGTGGCAGACCCGTGACGCGCACGCTCGCTTCGCTATTCGCAACTCCCTACCGCTAGATGAGCGCGAGCACTTCGGCCAGTGCAAGACTGCTAAGGAACTGTACACAGCCGTAGTTGCTCGCTACTCCTCACCTGCGTCTGCCGCACTAGGCCGCCTCTCACTGCCCTACCTGTTCCCTGACCTGGCCTCCTTTCACACTGTTGCTGACCTCATCACCCACCTCAAGACTAGTGAGGCCCGCTTTCGCGCTGCTATGCCTGCCGAGTTCCTTGCTAGCAACCCCCCCCCCGCTCTGGCTCACTCTCTACCACATTGTCACCCGCCTCCCTGACTCTCTGCGCACAGTCAGGGACTCCTTTCTAGCTCGCTCCCCTACTGAGCTCACTAATGCCCTCCTTGAGAAGGACCTACTTGCAGCTGAGGCGAGCATCGTCGCCGTAGGTGCCTCTCGTGGCGACCCCCGCACCCCCTTCTTTGAGGGGTGTTCCCCTTCCCCTCTCCTCCCCTCTGTCGCCTCTGCTGCTGCTGTCGACCTCCTTGGTGCTGAGAAGGTCGGGACCGCGTCTGCTTCGAGCGGGCGCCGCAGGAGCAAGGGGGGCAAGGGTGGAGGTGGCGGCGGAGGAGGTGGGGGTGGAGGCGGTGGTAGTGGAGGAGCGACGGGGGAGGCTAGTGGTGGCAATGGGGGTGGTGACGGCAGCGGCGGGGGCGGTGGCAGGGGTGGGGGCAGCAGCGGGGGCGGAGGTGGTCGTGGCAGCGGCAGGTGCCCTCCGCTCTGCAGCAGTTGCTGCTGCCCTCCGCTCTGCAGCTGCTGCTGCCCTCCGCTCTGCAGCTGCTGCTGCCCTCCGCTCTGCGGCTGCCACTGCCCTCCGCTCTGCAGCTGCTGCTGCCCTCCGCTCTGCAGCTGCTGCTGCCCTCCGCTCTGCAGCTCCTGCAGCCCTCCGCTCTGCGGCTGCCACTGCCCTCCGCTCTGCAGCTGCCCCTGCCCACCGCTCTGCAGCTGCTGCTGCCCTCCGCTCTGCAGCTCCTGCTGCCCTCCGCTCTGCAGCTGCTGCTGCCCTCCGCTCTGCAGCTGCTGCTGCCCTCCGCTCTGCAGCTGCTGCTGCCCTCCGCTCTGATTGGGCTGAAGCCCTCCGCTCTGCAGCTGCTGCTGCCCTCCGCTCTGCAGCTGCTGCTGCCCTCCGCTCTGCAGCTGCTGCTGCCCTCCGCTCTGCGGCTGCCACTGCCCTCCGCTCTGCAGCTGCTGCTGCCCTCCGCTCTGCAGCTGCTGCTGCCCTCCGCTCTGCAGCTCCTGCAGCCCTCCGCTCTGCGGCTGCCACTGCCCTCCGCTCTGCAGCTGCTGCTGCCCTCCGCTCTGCAGCTGCTGCTGCCCTCCGCTCTGCAGCTCCTGCTGCCCTCCGCTCTGCAGCTGCTGCTGCCCTCCGCTCTGCAGCTGCTGCTGCCCTCCGCTCTGCAGCTGCTGCTGCCCTCCGCTCTGATTGGGCTGAAGCCCTCCGCTCTGCAGCTGCTGCTGCCCTCCGCTCTGCAGCTGCTGCTGCCCTCCGCTCTGCAGCTGCTGCTGCCCTCCGCTCTGATTGGGCTGAAGCCCTCCGCTCTGCAGCTGCTCCTGCCCTCCGCTCTGCAGCTGCCCCCGCCCTCCGCTCTGCAGCTGCTGCTGCCCTCCGCTCTGCAGCTCCTGCTGCCCTCCGCTCTGCAGCTGCTGCTGCCCTCCGCTCTGCAGCTCCTGCTGCCCTCCGCTCTGCAGCTGCTGCTGCCCTCCGCTCTGATTGGGCTGCTGCCCTCCGCTCTGCAGCTGCTGCTGCCCTCCGCTCTGCAGCTGCTGCTGCCCTCCGCTCTGCAGCTCCTGCTGCCCTCCACTCTGATTGGGCTGAAGCCCTCCGCTCTGCAGCTGCTGCTGCCCTCCGCTCTGCAGCTGCTGCTGCCCTCCGCTCTGCAGCAGCTGCTGCCCTCCGCTCCGATTGGGCTGAAGCCCTCCGCTCTGCAGCTGCTGCTGCCCTCCGCTCTGCAGCTGCTGCTGCCCTCCGCTCTGCAGCTGCTGCTGCCCTCCGCTCTGCAGCAGTTGCTGCTGCCCTCCGCTCTGCAGCTGCTGCTGCCCTCCGCTCTGCAGCAGTTGCTGCTGCCCTACGTTCTGCAGCTGCTGCTGCCCTCCGCTCTGCAGCTGCTGCTGCCTTCCGCATCGCGACTGCCGCTGTCCTCCGCTCTGATTGGGCTGCTGCCCTCCGCTCTGCAGCTGCTGCTGCCCTCCGCTCTGCAGCTCCTGCTGCCCTCCGCTCTGCAGTTGCTGCTGCCCTCCGCTCTGCAGCTGCTGCTGCCCTCCGCTCTGCAGCTGCTGCTGCCCTCCGCTCTGCAGTTGCTGCTGCCCTCCGCTCTGCAGCAGCTGCTGCCGCCCTACGTTCTGCAGCTGCTGCTGCCCTCCACTCTGCAGCTGCTGCTGCCCTCCGCTCTGCAGCTGCTGCTGCCCTCCGCTCTGATTGGGCTGCTGCCCTCCGCTCTGCAGCTGCTGCTGCCCTCCGCTCTGCAGCTGCTGCTGCCCTCCGCTCTGCAGCTGCTGCTGCCCTCCGCTCTGCAGCTGCTGCTGCCCTCCGCTCTGATTGGGCTGAAGCCCTCCGCTCTGCAGCTGCTGCTGCCCTCCACTCTGCAGCTGCTGCTGCCCTCCGCTCTGCAGCTGCTGCTGCCCTCCACTCTGATTGGGCTGAAGCCCTCCGCTCTGCAGCTGCTGCTGCCCTCCGCTCTGCAGCTGCTGCTGCCCTCCGCTCTGCAGCTGCTGCTGCCCTCCGCTCTGCAGCTGCTGCTGCCCTCCGCTCTGCAGCTGCTGCTGCCCTCCCCTCTGCAGCTGTAGCAGTTTGGTTGCCCGTCGCCTCCGGCCCCGCCCCCGCACTCGGGGCCTTTCCGCTTGGTCCGAGGAGTCGGGGTTGGCATTCTCCCCCTCTATGGGGCTTGCTTCCAGCTCGTCATTGTATGCCTCGTCCTCCATCTCCACATCCAACTCCCCCAGTGGGTCTTGCTGCCCTCCGCTCTGCAGCTCCTGCTGCCCTCCACCCTGCAGCGTCTGCTGCCCCCCACTCTGCAGCTCCCGCTGCCCTCCACGGGATAGCTCCTGCTGCTCTCCACTCCGCAGCTCTTGCTGCTCTCGGCTCTGCAGCTCCTGCTGCCCTCCACTCTGCAGCACCTGCTGCTCTTCTCTTTGCGGCTGCCGCTGCCCTCCACTCGGCAGCTCCTGCTGCTCCCGGATCTGCAGCTGCTGCTGCCCTCCGCTCTGCAGCCCCCGCTGCCCTCCGCTCTGCAGCTGCCGCTGCCCTCCGCTCTGCAGCTCCTGCTGCCCTCCACTCTGCAGCACCTGCTGCTCTCCTCTCTGCAGCTGCCGCTGCCCTCCACTCCGCAGCTCTTGCTGCTCTCGGCTCTGCAGCTCCTGCTGCCCTCCACTCTGCAGCACCTGCTGCTCTCCTCTTTGCAGCTGCTGCTGCCCTCCGCTCTGCAGCTGCTGCTGCCCTCCGCTTTGCAGCCCCCGCTGCCCTCCGCTCTGCAGCTGCTCTTGTCCTCCGCTCTGCAGCTCCTGCTGCCCTCCACTCTGCAGCACCTGCTGCTCTCCTCTCTGCAGCTGCCACTGCCCTCCACTCGGCAGCTCTTGCTGCCCTCCGCTCTGCAGCTGCTGCTGCCCTCCGCTCTGCAGCTGCTGCTGCCCTCCCCTCTGCAGCTGCTGCTGCCCTCCGCTCTGCAGCTGCTGCTGCCCTCCGCTCTGCAGCTGCAGCTGCTGCTGCCCTCCGCTCTGCAGCTGCTGCTGCCCTCCCCTCTGCAGCTGTAGCAGTTTGGTTGCCCGTCGCCTCCGGCCCCGCCCCCGCACTCGGGGCCTTCCTGCTTGGTCCGAGGAGTCGGGGTTGGCATTCTCCCCCTCCATGGGGCTTGATTCCAGCTCGTCGGTGCCTGCCTCGTCCACCATCTCCACATCGCTCACCCACAATGACTCCTGCTGCCCTCCACTCTGCAGCTCCTGATGCCCTCCACTCTGCAGCTCCTGCTGCCCTCCACTCTGCAGCTCCTGCTGCCCTCCCCTCTGCAACTCCTGCTGTGCCCTGCTCTGCAGCTGCTGCTGCCCTCCGCTCTGCAGCTGCTGCTGCCTTCCGCATCGCGACTGCCGCTGTCCTCCGCTCTGATTGGGCTGCTGCCCTCCGCTCTGCAGCTGCTGCTGCCCTCCGCTCTGCAGCTCCTGCTGCCCTCCGCTCTGCAGTTGCTGCTGCCCTCCGCTCTGCAGCTGCTGCTGCCCTCCGCTCTGCAGCTGCTGCTGCCCTCCGCTCTGCAGTTGCTGCTGCCCTCCGCTCTGCAGCTGCTGCTGCCCTCCGCTCTGCAGCAGCTGCTGCCGCCCTACGTTCTGCAGCTGCTGCTGCCCTCCACTCTGCAGCTGCTGCTGCCCTCCGCTCTGCAGCTGCTGCTGCCCTCCGCTCTGATTGGGCTGCTGCCCTCCGCTCTGCAGCTGCTGCTGCCCTCCGCTCTGCAGCTGCTGCTGCCTTCCGCATCGCGACTGCTGCTGCCCTCCGCTCTGATTGGGCTGCTGCCCTCCGCTCTGCAGCTCCTGCTGCCCTCCGCTCTGCAGCTCCTGCTGCCCTCCGCTCTGCAGTTGCTGCTGCCCTCCGCTCTGCAGCTGCTGCTGCCCTCCGCTCTGCAGCTGCTGCTGCCCTCCGCTCTGCAGTTGCTGCTGCCCTCCGCTCTGCAGCTGCTGCTGCCCTCCGCTCTGCAGCAGTTGCTGCTGCCCTACGTTCTGCAGCTGCTGCTGCCCTCCGCTCTGCAGCTGCTGCTGCCTTCCGCATCGCGACTGCCGCTGTCCTCCGCTCTGATTGGGCTGCTGCCCTCCGCTCTGCAGCTGCTGCTGCCCTCCGCTCTGCAGCTCCTGCTGCCCTCCGCTCTGCAGTTGCTGCTGCCCTCCGCTCTGCAGCTGCTGCTGCCCTCCGCTCTGCAGCTGCTGCTGCCCTCCGCTCTGCAGTTGCTGCTGCCCTCCGCTCTGCAGCTGCTGCTGCCCTCCGCTCTGCAGCAGTTGCTGCCGCCCTACGTTCTGCAGCTGCTGCTGCCCTCCACTCTGCAGCTGCTGCTGCCCTCCGCTCTGCAGTTGCTGCTGCCCTCCGCTCTGCAGCTGCTGCTGCCCTCCGCTCTGCAGCCGCTGCTGCCTCGTCCCCTCCGGCGGCTGTTGGCCTCTTTCCCGGCGCCCCTCCTGTCCGCCCGCCTGCAGGTCCCACCGGCCCCCCACCGGCGGCTCCCTCTGCCTGTCTCTTCCTGCCACCCTCCGACGCCTCCGTTCCTGCCGCCGTGCGAGACGTGGCACGACTAGGGGAGAGTCGACGTCGGTCGAGCACGCACTGTGCCGCGTTATTCTCTCAGGTAGGCCACTCCTGCGAGTGTTGTGCTGTTGTTGCAAGCGCCTACGATGCTCTTCCCAAGCTGCCCTCTGATGCCACTTCGGCGGCCAGACTCCTGTCGCCTACTGCTTCTCCCCCCTCTTCGTTGACGGCCGAAGGCTCTGAGACGCCGCTCTGGCCAGCCCGGTTGCTGGGGGGGTTCTTGGGGGATTGTCCACCTGTAATTGCTGAAATCGGGCGGTTCGCTTCAAAACACCGCCTCTTGGGTGGTTTGCCGAAGAGGCACAGAATGTCTTCGTGGCGGAGGCGACAGATGCGTGGGCTCTGGAGCGCACCCTCAGGCCCCCCCCGTCTTTTGTGGCCAGCCTCTAGGCGGAGCGACCCCCTGACTGCTGCCGTGCTTGTCCCCCCTTTGCCCCCGATGGCTTCCGTCATGCCATTGTCTACGCTGTCTCTCGCCCAGACCCCGGGGTCCCCGGGGCCTGGGTCGTCTTCCATGGTGGCGTTTCAGGTGGTACCTGGTGGTTCCTGCGGCGATTCCGCCCTGCTGAGGCGAGATCGCGCTGCCTGGTGGCGTCGAGGCGCTGCTAAGGGGCGATTTCGCGCTGCCTAAGGCGTCTGGCGCTGCTGAGGCGAGATCGCGCTGCCTGGTGGCGTCGAGGCGCTGCTAAGGGGCGATTTCGCGCTGCCTAAGGCGTCTGGCGCTGCTGAGGCGAGATCGCGCTGCCTGGTGGCGTCGAGGCGCTGCTAAGGGGCGTTTTCGCGCTGCACGTACGTCATCCGCACTGGTGACCGCACTGGCCAGCAGTGTGGGAGGCCACACCCCACGCAGCGCTGTTACGCGCGCCTTACCGACGCTTGGCGCGCTCAGTTCCCTGGTGGCGCTGAGTTGCCCCGCTGGGGTGAGCTGGAGAGGCAGGGGGTTGATATCTGGGCTTTAGACTATGATGCTATTCTCACTGCCATGTATGCGATGTTTACTAGTGGAGAGGGTGCTCGTTACTTGCGTGTTCCGCCCGACCCGGGCATTCTGACCAGTCCCACTGCCGCTCTAGGTGCTCGTGAGCTTGCTGCCCCAGGTACTGGTGAGGCTGCTGCTCTAGGTGTTGTGAGTCTGTGCCCCCTGGTACTGAGTCGACTGCAGCACTGCACACCTTCACACTGGACTCAGGTGCTTCTCGCTGTTTCTTTCGTGACCGCACTGTCCTTGAGCCACTCGCTCGGCCAGTTGCTGTCTCCCTCGCTGACCCCTCTGGGGGTCCGGTCATTGCGACCTCCTCCACTGTCCTTCCCTGTCCTGCGGTCCCGTCGGGCACACTGTCAGGTCTCCACCTCCCCTCGTTCTCTACGAACCTGGTGGCAGGCTGTGCGCTCCAGGACGGGGGTGTTCACCAGTTCACCCCTGCCTACGAGCGTGTGACACACTGCACGTGTGCTCGGACGGGTCGCCACCTGGCTACCTTCACTCGGGAGCCGGGGTCGGACCTGTACACACTGACCACTGAGTCCCTTCAGGTAGCTGCGTCTGCGTCTGCGTCAGGTCAGCTGTCCGAGCACCTGGTCCGGCCGTCAAGACGCACGAGGCGACGTGCGTCCTGCCCAGGGGTATCAACCCCCTCCCGCGCGCAACCTGAACCCAGCGGTTCAGCATCAGCAGCAGCAGCCGTCATCGACTGCCCCAGTTCGCAACGTCATGAGCAGCATGGCCATGACAGGCGAGTCGCGTCGTCGCCGCGTTCGCTCACCGTCACCTGAGCCGGCACCGCACCCAATTGGCGCGTTCACCAACAACAACCCGTTTAGCCCGCGCCACGATTTCACCGACGACGACGACCAAGACTGGAATCTTCCAGTCCCGCTGCTTGAAAGTCCCCCGCACGTACCTGACATGCGGGTGGCGCCACTCGATTGGCTCTCGCGCGAGCAATTTTTGAAGTTCGACACTCCGCACATCGTCACGCCGCGACTGGCGCTGCTCGCACGTGACGACAACAAGCGCTACAACACCTGGTACCTGGACAGCTGCTGCGGCCAGCATATGGTGGGCTCCGAGCATTACATATCCAACGCCGTCCCCACCCCTGCCGTCACCTACGTCACCGTGGCGAACAACACACGCCTGCGCGCAAGTGCGCAAGGCATCGTCGTGCTCAAAGCACGCGGAAGCCGCACGCACATCACACTTAACGATGTGCTGATCGTCCAGAACCTGCGCTTCAACCTCCTGTCCGCCGCACAGCTTATGGACTGTGGCGTCGACCTCAGCACGGACCGCGCGACGCGAGATATCCTGCTGCACTATGAGGCGCGCAACTTCCCCCGCAGGCAGATCGGACGAGCACACTCCGAAAATGGAGTGTACGTCCTGGATTTCGACATCCCCGACTGCAGCGGCGACTCGCACGAGCTGATTGACCTCGTGCCACTGCGCTTCGAACACATCCACCGCAGGGATTGGAAGCACCCTGACAGCAGGTGCCAAACCTGACGGACCCTGAGGGATTGGTGCCACATCATTTTCACCCACGCGAAACGGCGTTACACAACCCCGACCCCGCAGGCATATGCAGGGATTGCCACACGCCGACGACCTCAACAAGCGCGATTGCGGGCCGCGGACTTGCCGCCATCGCTGAAGCAGAGCGCCACGCGCCACCAGAAGAAGGGATGTCGCAGCTCGAGGTCGAGGAGACTACTCGTCGCGTATTCGGCCCCGAACAAAGCCCGCACGCTGGACCCCCCTCCCAGCGGTTCGCAATTATCCTGCGCGGGCAACACCGCGGAAGCCTGGACTCACGAGGAGTCCCGCGCCCCTACACTCTCGAGGAATTTCGAAAGGTGTATCCTCATCGACTCGACCCCGCGGCGAAACTCACCGTGGAGCAAGAAGAGGAGTTGGCGCAACGCGAAGCTGAGGAGCTTCGCCAGCAAAGCCTCGCCGAAGCGCGCGGCACCTTCGCTTGCGGCGCATGGGGAGCCGAAGCAGAAGAGAGCGCCTCCAATGAGGGGGGGTGGGGAAGCGCTAGAGGCTGGGGAACAAGCGACACCGGCGGATGGGGAGACAACGGCGGAACATGGGCCAACGCGAGCGGCGGATGGGGCGCCGTACCTACCGCCGCAGACAGCGGCTGGGGCACTTCCCGTGAAGAACGAAGGGGGGAAGAGGAAGAAGCCGCGGAAACCGAAGCAGCACCTGCAGTCGTTCCTCTCGGTCGTCCCCCGCGCCACATCCCGCTCGCACCACCTCCTGCAGACATTCCTCCGCATCGTGACCCGTGGGACACCATCATTTGGGGCAACGAGCCGTCAACTCCGCGCCGCACCGTCTACGGACCTGCCCCTGAGCCACGCCAACCTACCTTAGTCCCTGGAACCATCCCTGGGACCAACATCCCACTCTCTGACATTCGCGACAGAGAGTTCTTGGCGCTGATGCTGACTACCGCGGCAGAAGAAGAAGAAGTAGAAGAAGTAGCAGCAGAACCTGCTCCTGTACCTGACGAAGACCCTGAGGAAGCGCGCGCGCGCTATATGCGCACCTCCGGCTTTCGCGCCGACGATGCACTCTGGCACCAGCGCCTCGGACACCCTTCCCGCGCGACACTGAAAAACTGCATCGACGCTGGCGTCTTCGCTCCTGGCGCACTCCTGCGCCCTGATGGCTCCGAAGTGAGTGGCGCGACACACCCGCGCAACTGCACCATCTGCCCCGAAGCTGCGCTGAGCCACCAACCGTTCCCGCTGCTCGAACCTGGAACGAACCGCTACCCCAAGCTGCACAAGGTGTACAGCGATTTCCTGAACGTGGGGCATTGCGGAGTCGACGACGAGCTGTACACACTTACCTTCATCGACGCTGGAACGCGCTACGTATGGATCGTAAACGTGGAAACCCGCGACAGAGCCTACGAGGTGTTCCGCCTCTGGCTGGCACATGCGCAGCGGCAATCTAGAAAGAAACTCAAGATCTGGCAATCTGACGGCGCAGCAGAGTTCAGGAGCAACCAGATGCAGACCTTCCTGGCGCAAAAGGGGATCGAGCACCACATCTCTCTCCCCTACGCGCACCAGCAGCAGGGCGTAGCTGAGCGGACGAACCGCACACTGATGACGAAGGTGCGCGCGCTGATGAAGCAGTCGAAATTGCCGCCGATCTACTGGACTTACGCGATGCACCACGCCGTGCGGGTGCACAACCTGCTTTCGACCACCGCCATCACCGGCAATCTGTCCCCGCACGTCAAGTGGACCGGGACTAAGGGGGACACATCGATGCTGCGCGTATGGGGATGCATGGTGCAGTACCGCCCGCCAACATCAACCATCGGCAAATTCGCCAGCCGCGCGCGCTGGGGAATTCATCTCGGCATCAGTCACGAGTACAAGGCATGGATCGTGCTGGACCTCCTGAGCCAGAAGACCGCCCATGCCCGCGACGTAATCTTCTACGAACGCCTCTTCCTCGACCAGTTCCGCGACGACGAGCAGAGAAACGCGGATCGCGTCTACGCGAACAACGGGCACAGCTACGCAACGCCCGAAGACGAAGCCGCTGCAGCACTCCTGGAGCAAGACACCAGGGCCGAGTTCGCATGGGAGGATCGGCGCAGCAGCGACGACGACGACGATGATTCCTCAGGAGGAGGAATAGGCGGAACAGGCGGAAGCGGAACAGGCGCAGCACCACCAGCACCACCTGAACCTGAAAGCGATGACGATGACGTACAAGAAGTCATCCCGCAACGTCGCCACGACAGCACCGTTTCGGGACTGCGGCTGCTCGGGCTTCACGCTGCAACCACAAAAGCGCCGCGCATCATCGAGCCCCGAAATCCGCGCGAGGCTCTCTCTGGACCACACAGCAAGGAGTGGCGTGAGGCAATGGACGCGGAAATCAAGGCACTGGAATCACGCGACACCTGGGTGCTCGTCGACCGCGCAGCAATCAAGGGCGCAAGGGTCCTCTCGGGGAAGTGGGTCTTCCGCGTGAAGACCGCAGCGGACAGAACCATCAAACGCTTCAAGGCGCGCTGGGTGGTTCGCGGCTACGATCAGAGGCACGGGATCGACTTCGATCAGACGTTCGCCCCGGTTAGCCGTCACACCTCCGTCCGCATTCTGCTCGCCATCGCAGCTGCAAGGCACCTGCCACTTCGCCAGATCGATGTGAAGAACGCGTTCCTGTACGCGTTAGTGGACGCTGTGATTTACGTGGAGCAGACGCACACCTATGGCGAAGGAGACTCGCGCGTGTGCCAACTGCGCAAGTCACTCTACGGCATTAAGCAGGCTCCGAGGCTGTGGCAGCAGTACCTGCACAACATCCTGCTTGAAATTGGATTCAAGCAGATGCCGCACGACCCAGGGATGTACCGCCGCGACTTCCGCGGCGAATACATCCTTCTCACGGTGTATGTCGACGATTTGCTTTACACAGGATCGAACAACGAGCTTCTCGAGCAGTTCGAGAAGGCCTTGGCGGGGCGCGTCGACATCACGTGCAACTACGAGGTGAAGCAGTTCCTAGGCCTCAACATCTCCTACGCTCCTGAGGCCATTCACCTTTCAGCGGCTAAGGGTACATTCCGCTGTGGACATGCGTCCCAATCGATG